ACGTTTTTGTCTGAGAAGAATGGCGACTTTTGATTCGTGTATCCAATTTAATTGTCAATTGTTCATATCAGTAGTTGCAAAACGTTGTTATGTGTTTGGTTTGAGTCGGTGATAGGTGAGGGCTGTTACTTGGTTGAATTCTCGAAATTATGTACAGCTCCTTGTGTTCTATTTTTTTTATTATTATTATTTTTTTTTTATGGAGATCTTGTGGGTATCTATTTCAGTATTTCTATTTCAAGGGTTAATATGTTTGCTTTCTTTCTCTTGTAGGGTATACAAAGGAAAGTAGCAGCATCATTGTCATAGGACTTAACATTCATACTGCTCCAGTTGAGATTCGCGAGAAACTTGCAATACCAGAAGCACAGTGGCCTCAAGTCATCAAAGAACTCTGTGCTTTGAACCATATAGAAGAAGCTGCTGTTCTTAGTACATGCAACCGAATGGAGATTTATGTAGTGGCACTCTCTCAACACCGTGGTGTTAAAGAAGTAACTGAGTGGATGTCAAAGGTAAACCTGCTTTATGTATGCTGCTCTGCCAAAAAAAAAAGCTAAATTTTTAAATTTTCAATTTCAATCACAATCAAGTGCCATGTCAAAGAAATAGAGGAACTTACTGTTATATCATTTTTATTTGGCAGCAAAGTGGAGTTCCTTTACCAGAGCTTTGTGACCACCGATTTTTGCTATACAGCAAGGATGCCACTCAACATCTGTTTGAAGTAGCAGCTGGGCTTGATTCTCTTGTTCTTGGGGAAGGCCAAATTCTTGCTCAGGTAAAACAAGTTGTAAAAGTTGGGCAAGGAGTAGCTGGCTTTGATAGGAAAATCAGTGGGTTATTCAAGCAAGCAATTTCCGTGGGAAAGCGAGTGAGAACTGAGACTAACATTTCCTCAGGGTCAGTTTCTGTCAGCTCAGCTGCTGTGGAGCTGGCCCTCATGAAGCTTCCAGAGTCTTCTTTTGCTAATTACAAATTAGTAGTCTTTGGGGCAGGGAAGATGGGAAAACTTGTGATCAAACACTTGGTGGCAAAAGGGTGCAGTAGAATGGTTGTTGTTAACAGAACTGAAGAGAGAGTCCAAGCCATTAGGCAAGAGCTGCAAGGTGTAGACATAGTATATAGACCTCTTTCAGAAACCCTAGCATGTGCTGCTGAAGGTGATGTGATATTGACCTGCACTGCATCTGAATCCCCATTATTCTCAAAAGAGAATGTGCAAAAGCTTCCTCCAGTTGACCAAGGCATGGGAAGACGGCTTTTCATTGACATATCTGTTCCTAGGAATGTGGAACCTTGTGTCTCAGACCTTGACACTGCGCAACTCTACAATGTGGATGACCTTCAGGAAGTTGTTGAATCTAACAAGGAGGACAGACTCCAGAAAGCCGCTGAAGCCCATGAAATTATCCTCGAAGAATTGAACAAGTTCGAAGCTTGGAAAGACTCACTCGAAACTGTTCCCACCATCAAGAAATTTAGATCTTATGTTGAAAGGATCAGGGCCTCTGAGATGGAAAAGTGCTTATCCAAGATGGGGGATGACATTTCAAAGAAGCAGAAAGAAGCCATTTATGACCTAAGTGTGAGTATAGTGAAGAAGCTGCTTCATGGTCCTATGCAACACCTGAGGTGTGATGGAAATGATGATCGTTCACTGAGCGAAGTACTTGAAAATATGCGTGCTCTTAACAGAATGTTTGATCTTGAGACACAAGCGTCCTTGTTGGAAGAGAAGATTAAAGTAAAGATGGAACGAACCAAGAAGTGAATTGTTCTTAATTTGGTTCTTCTTTTGCACACTTCCACGCTTTGATTCAAATTGGTTGGCACAAGGTGAGACACTGGGAGATTTGTTTTTTTTTTTTTAGGCTTGTTCTTTTAATTATGTGTAATACCATTCATTGAGGCTTATTGGATAAAGCTTGCACAGTCCTAGATTTCAGGCACTGGATAATTGGACTTGTGCCAATATTTTTCGAGTTCATTTGGGATTGGAGTGATTCAAGATTCATGATCCTCCAGAGGAATTACAGATTACAGTTGTTGTACTTAAAATAATTAATAATAATATTGTTATTCTGTACCTGGTTTCGGAGTTTATTTTCTATACTAATCTAGTAATTTTTATGTAATTAGCTTTGAATCATTATTGAGTATTTAATGCCTGTAGATAATAATAATTCTTGGAAGATATATAAACAATTCTACAGCTGTCAATTAGGGTCAAGCTGGCTTTTAAAGAATTAAGGTCTAAATGAGTTGGCCTTAAGAAGCCTAGTTATAACTCAAGACTTCTTTTTATGAGGCCCGGCTCTCAGGGCCTCTACCCATTTATTTTTTACTTTTTTAATTTAAAATTCTAAAAAAAATTATTACACATAAGATTAAGTTTAGAAAAATCAATTCACACCATAATAAATATAGAAAACTTAAATATCTAGATCTAATATCAAATAGTTATATCAAACTTAACACCAATAAAAATCAATTTTGACTCACATTATCTGCTAAATCTTGAGGAATGAATAATAGAGGCATGAATGAGTCTAAAGTATTCATTTCTTTTAGTTAAATATTTAATTTTCTATTTTTTTAAATTATTTTTAAAAAAATAATAAAGGGGCTTAAAAGGGCCAGCTTTTTAACTTTTGAGTCTAACCTTTTAAGCCTGAATTATAATTTTTTGCTTGAAATTAGCAGCCCAATCCTAGTTATGTTTGAGCTTATCAAGCCGGCTTTAATTGACAATTCTTATAGAGATTGTTTTTAAATTGTTTATAAAGATTTACATCATGAATTTCTTGGAGCCTTTCTCACTTTATGTTTCTATGTCATTTAATTTTATTTTTCTCAATTATTCATGTAATAAGTTGAAAATTTGAACATCATATTCTATCCAAGGATTTAAAAACCAAAAGAAAAAGGTTAAAATAAAAGCTTTTTCTTATAATTATTTTTCAAAATCTTTTACTGCTCCAAACTATTCCATGACCTATATTTGCACTTGCAGTACTGTTTTTGTTAACTACACAATTGTTTGGACGTAAATTATTGTTAAACCAATAAAGTTTAGTCCCAGTTAGCAATAATTTGGCTCATAATTTATAAGATTGTGAATTCAAATCATGTTATCGATGTGAGGACCTTGCTTACAAATACATTTGTAAGTATTCTTTGAACTTGAAGCATGCTCTGACCTAGTGAGTTCTCAAAAATCAACTCACTCAGACTTTTTTATATCAATAATTTTTATTATTATTTTGACCAGTATATCAAAGATTATTGTCAGCCAAGATGGGCTTGGAGGCCTTTGGTGACGGCGGTAAATAATTGTTTTATTTAAAAAAAGAGGTAAACCAAGGATATTTTAGCAATTAAATATATAATATATTTTAAATAAAATATTTCAGACTTGTGTGTTATTTGTCCATTTCATGAGACCTTATAAGAAAGAAAAATGAAAATAAAATGTCTTTAAAATATGTAAATGATAATTTAATACTTCAAAATGTCATAATTTTCCAGAAGTCCTAGAAACTTTTCTGTCATTAATAAATTTATATAATTTGGTAAAAAAATAATTTTATATAAATTATTAAATTATTCTTATTGAAAATAAATGATTCATAAGTTTTGTTTAAATATTCACAACTTTTCTTCTTACATTCACAACAATACAATAACAAATCACAATTTTATATGTTAAATTTTTTATTTGCTGTTGCATTGTTGCGAATATAAGAATGAAAGTTGTGAGTATTTAAATAAAACTAGTGAATCATTTATTTTCAACAACGATAATTTGATAATTTATATAAATTCATGAATGATAAAAAAGTTTCTAGAACTACAGGAAAATTATGACATTTTGAGGGACCAAATTTTCATTTACATATTTTAAAAAAATTTTATTGTCATTTTTCCTAATTAATTAAGAATTTCTATGGAAGACTTTGGAGTGATTTTCCCTAATTGTTTAAATAAGAAAGTATGCAGCAACATATTAAAATATTTTGGAGGCTTTTAAAATAGCATATAAAAAGTAATTAAAATTAAAATATTTTTCAAGGGTTTATCTGCTAGTTACGCCTACAATATATGGGTTTTACGCGATAATATATTAATTATCAACTTATTGCTTGTTATTTGGAGAGTATTAACTGGAATTAGTGCCCATGATATATGCCTATCTCAATTTAACAAATCCTATTGAAATTTCTTGAAAGGATTTGTTTAAATTTATTAATGTGGACAATTTATTTAAAGAATACAAAATAAAAATAAATTATTCTTATATTTATTTTTTATAAATATAATTGAATAATTTTCATTAATTTAATTTTAATTCACAAAACAAAAAAAAAGTAAGCAGAATTTACAAACACTAAAATTAAATATTAAAAGTTGAGAAATCATATTACCAAATCAAACTTATCTTACAAAAAATCATAATTTAAATTAAAAAGTTTAATTTATAAAATAAAACAAGAAAAATATTCAACCTATTTTTTAATAATAACTTTTTAAAAAATTAAGAATAGGAATAACTTGAAAATTTTATTTATTGAAACGAAGACGTTTTAAAAGTCTCCCACTTAAAATCATGAAAGAATATATAAAACGCAATAAAAGGCCAAAAAATAAAAAAACAAACGCATACAAAAGATTTTTTTTATCATTTGCCAAAAAAAAGGATAACAGAAAACTTAGTATTTAATACTAATAAATATATAATGTTAAATATAAAAAATTCATTAAACCTAATGTGTAATAATATTCTCAGTTGATTTTTTATTAGATTATACATTATCTTAATAATATTAAAATTTCACCTGTATATTATCTTAAAACAAATAAATATATCTTTCTCTGAATGTTAAAAAAAAAATCTTTTGAAAAGATTGAATTTGGAGCCTATATATACGCCATTAGTGTTCTCTCAATTAACTCTCATCTAGCTATTATCATCGTCTTCCAAACACTCAAAATCAATCATGTCCACTCTCAATGTTGCACGATGCTACTATGATGTGAAGGATCGACCTGAATATCCTCATCTCTTTCAAGATGTATCAACTCAATACCACAACACTACAATGCAAAATTTTAACCTCAATCTTTGTGTGAATTTCATACAACGTTGTTCAGAAGGCACTTGTCATATAATCAGTCATCCACTAGTTTCTTCCCATGTAATTTCATGCAGCCAGTTTTTCCAGAATGGTTCGAGATTTTTACGTCGTAATATTTATCATCACTTTCTCGATCTTCAAGTACTTGATGGATTGTTTCCCAACGTCATTCATCTTGCTCGACAATGGTTCAACAATGATCAACCTTGTCCTTCTATTTTTGAAGATGGTTTCATTGCTTATCCTCTGGCTATTGATATTATTGTTGAATTTCGTGAGAATGTCGAAGTCATTCATGGTCTGGATCTGGATCATATGGCTGGAGTTAGAATGATTCCGACATGTGAAGAAGCAATTCAATCGCTCAACAAAACAAAGTTTGAAGAAGACAGTGTTAAGAAGAATCAGTGTTCTATTTGTCTGGAATATTTTTGTGATGGTGTTGAGGTTTCGATGATGCCATGTCACCATGTTTTTCATCATACTTGTATCGTTCGGTGGCTGAAAACTAGTCATCTATGTCCTTTATGTCGATATTCTATGCCTGTGGGCAATAATTCTTAGAAATTATATGAAGAATCTTTTATTAATGAATCTATTTGGCTGTATCATTTGTGTTTCCATATTTATTTTATTTTTCCAGAATTGGTTTTATGATTTGATCATCATATTCTATCCGATTTTTTTTAAAAAAAGTGAAAAATAAACAATGAATGACCTCTAGAATTTAAGGTTAGGATTAAAAAATTCAAGGAAAAGTGTATCTGGCTCTTGAAACATATATGTTTTTAAGATCTTCTTTACTTAAATGCATAAAAAAAAGTAGTATAAAAATATAAAAAGAATATGACTAGTATACAAACAATATTTTTATTATCATTAAATAATAAAAATCCCTGAAACAAAAATGCAAGTATAAAAAAAAACGTTTATTTCGTTTGTATTTTTATTGATAAATAATCATGTATTATCTTTTTTAAATGAAAAGAAAAAAATATTTTGATGATTCCCAAAAAGAAAACTATGGTAATAAGTATTTTTTTTTATAATAACATTTTAAAATACCCAAAAAAAATCATTTTAGATTAACGTTCTTAAAAAAAAAAAAAGTCGCCACAACGTTCTTAAATTTTAAATATTATCCTAAACAAATATATCATTCTCTTAACTACATTTAAATTTCAATTGTATTATCTTAAAACTAATATATATATATATATATATATATATATTGCTTGATAATCTTTGTTATATCTTAAACTCTTTAGATGGATTAAGGGCTTTTGTTTCAGGTTTTAATGCAAAATCAGATTATCTTTTTTTTTCCCCCAAGAACGATCGTTTCAATAAAATTTTGGATGATTGTTTAAATTTTTAAAAATCATCCGGATATTGAAAAGAATCCGTATTTCGAGTTTCACTTTCAAGTAGAAGGTACATTAATTTATTATCATAATACAGGTCAAAAAAAATTATCATAATAAAATATAAAATAATTTTATTTTTTATAAAGAAAAATTTAATATTTTAATCCTTATAGTTTTGTTAGATTTGTAACTAAGTCCCTTTAATGTAAAGGTGGTATTTAAGCTAAATTCAAATAAGCCCATGAGATTTTAAAACCAAGCTTGAGAGTTTAGAAATGTTTCTATACTTCTGGCTTATTTAGACTACCAAATAAATATGAAAAAATTTAAGCTAAGCTCAAATTTGAACATGAATATTCTTTTTTATTATTAATAATATAAAGTTAACCATCACCTTAGCTTTCACTTAGCCCTCAAAAACCCTCTCCCAAACTCTCAGTTCACATATTTGTGCTCTTAAATTAAGTTTTAATGTTCTAATAATTATTTGTTTTAAAATTTTGAAAATATTAAAAAATAAGCACAAGTGATTAATTTTTATGCTTTCTTTTTTTATTCTTTCAATACTTGCTCTGATTTCAATAAGAATGGGAAAAAGGGGGTGTTGTAGTGTTATTTTCTTGAAAAATCTTAATTTTTAATATAAAAATTAAAATTGACTTAAAAAATAATATAATACAATATTTAATAAATTGGCTATTTCGGCCCGCCCAAAAGCCTAATGTATTAAGATTAAGCTTAAATATATTAACTTTTTTATATGTTTAGATATTTTAAGTCAATAAGAATCAATAGATTTTTATAAACAAAGACAATAAGAGAATTGATACTCCAAGGTGGTTAAGGGGTTTGAACCCATGATCTCTTAGCTCACCAAAAATTAATAAATGACCACTAAGCCATTGAATTTTTTTAAACTTATAATGCATAAAATTGTGTGTGTGTGTGTAAAATAAATCTTTTTTAAATTTTCCAAACTTCTTGCTTATCATGACAAGAAGAGTACTTGTTAAAATCCTCTTTAGCGACCTAATAAGAAAGAGAGCCAAGAGATCATAAGTTCAAATGCTTCATTTAACCACCTAATAAATTAATAAGTAAGTAATATTAAGTGACAAGTTAAATTAAGATTTTAACAAACCTGCTTCATAACATGATAAGTCAAAAGGACTGAATGTACAAAAGTACTATTAACAAGTCCCCCTAATATGCAATAAGGGCTTAGTTAAATGCATAGAGTAGACTCTTTAGAAATAGCTCACATATACCGAAATAAGTTTATGCACATGGTGATCTATAGAGCTTTATTTGAAAATAAAGAAGCTATTCTCGAATAAGAGGTATATATATTCCTGAAGAAAGATCCTGAAGAAAGATGATGTATTTTGAAATAAGATATTTTGTTTTTAAATAAGTGCATTGTTCCAAAATAATGAAAAGGAAAGAGATTCTGAGAAGCAATCATTATTTTAGAATAAACAAACCTATTCTAGAATAAGCAATCATTATTCTAGAATAAATAAGATATTTTGTTCTTGAATAAAGGCACACACAAACAAGCTATTTCATAATAAAGGTGCTATTTTGAAATAAGGAGTTTATGAACAAAAAACACATCAAAGCTTTCAAACTTTGAATATTTTGATTATGAGAGCAGCTAAAATACTTTTTAGATATTAAAAATGGTCCTTAAGAGATTAACATCAAGTCAAATATTTAATCTTTGAAAAGAAACTCAGGTAGATCAAATAGAGATTAAGCTTTTGAGTTTCTTGACAATTTAGGAAAGGGATGATAAAAAAACATTAATAAGAGTTTAATCCAGGCCAAAATTGTGTTTAAAAGGATTTTAGGAATGTTATAGAGTAAACACAACACTCAAAATGTGAAAGGATTGAACAAGGAATGAGAATCAAAGAGACCGAGAACAAACACATGAAATAGAGCATAAAAAATTGATGCTTGTAAAGATAAGTGACCTTATTCTCAAATAAGACTGGTTATTTCAAAATAATGGACATAGTTTTAAAATAAAGTTTGTATCAACTTCTAAAGGTCATAACTCTTTCATTCTAAATCCTAATCAGGCAAATGACTTATGGTTGGAAAGCTCTAAACGTCTAGTTTCAAACAAAATAAGACCCAACAGCGAATGCAATGTATACAAAAAGATATGATCAAAATGGTGAGCAAAAATTAGTAGCATTTTTTAGAGGTACTAGAAGCTTCAAAAGCCAACTTTAAAAAATCATAACAATTTCATATAAAATTCATTTTGAAAAATAGATGTATTTAGAAAGCTTCACAAGTATAATTTTAAATTAAATAAGTTGTACATCAAACAAAATTGTATAATAAGAGATATGACAAAAATACTGGCTAAAGGTCAAAACCAACTATTGCCAAAACTATTAACTCAAGCATCAACTTCAAATGTTAATAATATAACTCCATTTTGAGTATATGTAATATAACTATCCAAGTTGTAAAAAAATAACATTTTGAATTCTCTTGAATATATAATCATCTTAGTATAAAGAAAAATATGATAGAATTGAGTAACTTTTAAGCACATAAACCATTTTTCCAAACCTCATATAGCATGGAACAATATAAATAGAAACACTTTAAGACATTTATTCCATAGTTATAGTTAACTAGATATATAGAAAAATAACATACATACATACATACGTACATACATACATACACATACATACATACATACATACATATATATATATATATATTTAACTAATCTATATTTGTTACTGTTAAAAATTAAATTAAACATAATATCATAAGCCAATATGAATACTTTGGACTTGTAAAAAAATCTGAAATTTTTGGACCTTTTACAAATTTTTTATTTCTGAGACTCCTCATTGCAATTCTGTCATAATAATATAATTTATTATTGCCTGTTTTAACATTCATCCATGGTTCTTGAACCCTTTTTCTAAATTGTTTTCTTAAAAAAATTATAAAATGATCTATGAAACCAAAATTTTCTTATTAATCTTGTGAATAGAAAAAAAAAATTATAAGACGAGCTCCAAAACAAAACCATGTGGTTCAACCATAAAAGAGCCCAACAAAACTTTTGAAAACCAAATAGCATAAAGTCTATAGGAAAAATCAAGGTCACATATAACATAAGGGACTTATCAACATATAGATCCTGCAAATTTGAAAAAAATATAGTCAATTCCCTTAAAACTTGAGAGTGATTAAAAATTTTAGGTAAAAAAGACCTTTATGCTCCTGCTCTACTTGCTAAAATAAAAAACACCAATATATTAAAATCATATTTATCCTTTGCTTGGAACTGAAACTTTATAATTTACAAGTAAAAATTATTAATTTACAAGTCATATATTGCGTTTTGTAAATAATAGATTGAAATCTTATTTACCTTTCACTAATAACTACAAACTTTATAATTTGCAAGTCTAAATTCTTAATTTACAAGTTATATTTCATGTTTTATAAATAATATATTGATGTCATATTTACCTTTCACTTATAATTGTAACTTCACAATTTACAAATAAAAATTTTTTAATTCATAAGTCATATTTCATATTTTATAATACAAATGCATCCTCTACCACAAATTATACTCAAGTCCTAAGGGACTTAATTATAATTTCTGAATTTCATGATATTTATTTGTATTCTAGTCTCTTGTAGGATATATATAATTTTCCCAAGTTTAAATTTATTAATGAGAAAATTTTATTTAAATATTTAAAAATAATTTATTATCATTTATTTTTATAAATATAATTTTAATATTTTCGTTGTTCATTTTAATTTTCTTCATTAAAACAAAAAGGTATAAAAGTGATATTGAAGTTGAGAAATCATATTACCGATTCAATTTATCTCATTATTATTACAAAAAATCATCATTTAAATTAAAAAATTTACAAAATAAAATGAAAAAAATTCTTCAACCTAATTTTTTCACAATACTTCTTTAAAAATTAAGAATAGGAATGAGTTTTGAAATTTTTATTTATTGAAACAAAGTCCTTTTTAAAATCTCCTACTTAAAATCATGAAAGAATATATAAAATACAATAAATGGTCAAAACAAATAAAAATAAAGGTATAAAAAATATTTTTTGAACATGTGCCCAAAAAAAAACAGAATATTTAATACTAACAACAACTTAGACACCAAAAAAATATACCATTTACATTAACATTCTTTTAGTTTTATTATATTATCTTAATAATATTAAAATCTCAACTGTATATTATCTTAAAACTACTAAACATATCTTTCTCGATATAAAACTTTATCTGAAAATATTTTGAATAGACTGAACCCTAAAATCCAAAAAGAAAAAAAGAAAAATCTTTTGAATATATTAAATTTAGAGCCTATATATGTGTGTGTACAATATACTATCAGTGTTACTCTCAATTAACTCTCATCAATCAATTATTATTGTTTTTCAACACTCAAAATCAATCATGTCCACTCTCAATATCGCACAATTCTACTATGATGTGAATTATCAACCTAAATATCCTCGTCTCTTCCAAGTGTATCAATTCAATACCACAATACCACAATGCAAAATTTTAACCTCAATCTTTGTGTTCTTTTTCTACAACGTTTCGAGGATTCTTATCATATAATCAGTCTTCCACTAATTTCTTCCCATGTTGTTTCATGCAGCCAGTTCTTCTCAAATGGATCAAGTTTTTTACGTCGCAATATTTATCATAGTTTTCTTGATTTTCATGCAGCCAGTTTTTCGCAGTATAAAAAGCCGTTCGATTGTTAGAAATAATCAAAATAGAATGGATTACTTAAAAAATAAAAACAAAAATACAGTCTTTATGGTAATATGATAAGCTAATTGTACATTTAATCAATGAACACGTTGCACAACTAGTAAGAGGTTGCGCTAACTTAACCAGTCGAGAGAGTTTTGTCATCAATATGGCCCTGACTCAGCCCATGAATAATGGGCAATTATATTAAAAGAAATGCTAATTATACATTTATCTTGATATCATTTTTTATGGAAAAAAAACATGGTACTATAAATATGGGAATTGCTCTGCTCTCTACAAATTTCATGAATAACAACACTCAGTTATATTAACTAAATTACCCACTTTCCCTTCTAAATATGGTTAACTTAACTCTCCTTCACATTTTGACCCTTTTATTTTTTGTTTTAAGCTAGCTATAAATAGAGAGAATTTTAATAAAGAACCATAATAGATAAATTATTTAAAATAAGGATTAACATACCTATATAACTAGACTATTTATATATCAGGCGATGGTGGACAATTGATGCTCTAAGATGATATAGGGGTTTGAATCTATGATTTCTTAGGTCATGGAAAACTAATTGATGAATACCAAGCCATTAAACCTTTTTAATCTTATAATGCATAAAATTATATATATATATATATATATATATGAAATGAATCTTGTTTCGAAACTTCTTGCTTATTATAACAAGAAGTGGACTTATTAAAACTCCCTTTGGCCACCTAATAAGGAAATGAGCAAAGAGATCATGAGTTTAAAACCCCTCATTTAACCAACTAATAAATTGACAAGTATTGATATTAAAATGATAAGTTAAATTAAGAATATAGTAAGTCTACTTCATATTGTGGTAAGTCAAAAGGATTGTACATGCAAAAGTACTGGTTAAGCATATTGAAAAGAAAGAAATAACAAGAATGAAATTGAATTATAATATTCATCAAGAATAAGCAACAAGTTCAATACAACATCCAACTCTTGCCTAAATGGTGATAAACCAATCATCCGCAAACTGAGGAGAAACAAATGAGGGATTACACCATAATTTCCCTACTTACAAGCCTAACTTTCAACCACATATATAGATTTATACTAACAACTAATCATGATTAACAACTAACATTTTAACAAGCAATACTATTAACAAGTCCCCTTAATGAATTAACATATACTCCTTCTGTTAAAAAATGTAAGGTATTTTTAACCGAATATTATCTATTAATAAATTAGTTATCTATTTTCAAACTAACCTTATTTTTTTATATTTATCCCTATTAAATACCCTATAATAAATATAAAGTTACTATTAATAAGGGCGTTTTGAAAAAAAGATAATGATTATACCTCAAAAGACTAAAAATGCCTTACATTTTTAACATCCAATTCCTTTAAAAATGCCTTATATTTTTTAATAGAGGAAGTAAGTATTGTTGAATTGACAGGTTAACAAGGATGTAACCCTATTGGAAAAGCAAAAATTTTACCTAAGTTCAGATAAAATTATGCTTGTGCCCTTTAAATTATAATTGCCCCATATTCTCTTTAAAACTATCAAACATATATGTATATATACATGTTTAAAAATATTGTTTATTCTTGTATTTATTATAAAAATAAGGAAAAATAAAATTAAGAACCTTTGTATGAAATTTATATCAATCAATGATCAGTTGTAGTCAACACCTGAATGAATACTTATCGATTAATGTTAATCTTTTATTAACAAGTATCCATTTGGATTTTAACAATAACTAATTCTAAATTAATAAAAATTCATTGGGATTTGTTTTTTCTTCGAGTTTTGACAACAATTTATCTTTGACGAATATAAATTTGATATAGAGATCCTCAATTGCTATTTTCTCTAAAACTAAATTTATGATACACATGGCATTAATATATATATTGTTAAACTTCTCTTATAGTTTATTTATATGTCATTTTAATTAGTATTTAAAATTACATTTGCTTCAAAAAATTAATATTTATATTTAGTATAAATTTTTCCCCTCGAATAAATTTTTTAGTATCCATCAATGCAAGTTAATATAAGATTTTAACAAATAAGCTTCATAAGATATTTTAAGTAAATTAAAATTTTATTAAATATATCAATTTTAATGTTACCCTTTTTCTCTCTATAATTAAGTTTTATCCTTTTTCTTTTTAATATATTAAATGATAGGTATTTTTAAAAGTTTATATTTTTGTTTTAAAAAGATAAAGTTGTTAAGTGTATTTAATGAAGTTTATTAATATGTGAAATTTTGTCCAAAAATATCTTATAATTTGAGCTGGAAAAAGTATTTCACTAACATTTAATTGTCAATTTGTAAAGAAGAACTAATCAAACTATGCATATTAAACATTCCAATTTACAACTTACTCTGAAAAATGAATGAGTAAAATTTAATAAAATGACAAGTTCTATTAAGCTTTTAATAATTTCAATTTAACCTTTTGATCTTGCAATCTAATTTTGAAATATGTTAATTCTTATTTTAAATTAATTATCTATTGCGGCACTTCATCGCAATTCTCCCAACAAATAATATTCAATCTAACATCCATTTTGCGTCTAGGGGAGTTAATTTCGCAATTGTAAGATCACTTTTTTCATTTCATTCATTTTTTCATCCATGATTTGCGAGTCCTTATTAATTAAGATGACGCATGTAAGTGATTCTTTTGGAACAATCCCCACAAGCACTCAGCCCCACACAAAACATTGCATGCTTTGTTTAACATTTTTACTCAGCCAATTAAGGTACATTTTCATGCTTGTGCTATTTTTTTTATAAACATCCGATGTCCCAAACTATTTATTATAATAATTTTATCCCTAAAACAATTAAGACATAACATATACATCCCTAATGTTAAATATCTCAACATTAATCATTAAAAATACTGTCTGAAACTTGAATTTAACTAAAAATGCCACATGTCATGCTAAATAAATCCAAGTTAAAATACATTTTAATTTTTTTAAAGCGAAATTGTTACAACACAAATTATTTAAGACACTAAGTATTACTCAAAAAATAGGACATGGACAAAAACACATCTTAACTTGAATCTACTTTACATATTAAGTCACAATTTCACTTGCTAAAATCTCAATCAACATTTTTAACAATCAACGTTGAAGCATTTATCATCAGGGTCAAATATACTAATATACTATGTTTAAATTACTTTAAGAACAAAATTGTTTTGACAAATAGTTTAAAACACTAAATACTCTTCAGAAAATAACTCAAGGACAAATGTAACTTCACCCTCATTCATATTCTGTCCCTGTTATAGGGTGTCACTTTTACTGGCCACATGAGATTTATGTTTCCTCATAAATTTTATAGGTTGAATTAAATTGTATGCACCTTTATTAATAATGCAGTGTTTTTTTTTTAAGTTATCTTCCAAATAATTTTTGAAAAATTATAAAATAAAATTATTAAAAAAAGGTTGAGTTCAAAAATTAAAAACAAAAATAGTTGCTCCACAACTGAGAACTCTATAGCTGCAAATATTAAAATATTAATGCTTTAAACTAGAAGCTAGAAAATTCTAACTTCGACTTCAAGTAAAAAGAAGCATAAACAATTCCTTTTGGATTGAGATCCCTACAAAATTTTGGATTTCAGCACAATTTGGGTTGGACATCCAAAAAAAGAAAAAAAAAAGAAAAAGAAAAAGAGTCAAGTCACCCCACAATTCTCCACCTTGGATTGAAAATTTCATGTAACGGGAAATTAGATATAACTACTACCGTCCAAGCCTCCAAGGGCTTCAAGCTCTGAAGCTATAATTGAATTTTCAGCCGGCAACAACTTTGCCAACATATCGGTTGGATTATCTCTAACATCATTTGTTGAGCTTGATAGAGCCTTGAATTCCAAGAAAATCCTCTGAAACTTTTCATTTATTTGAGAGCAAGTATATAACCCCCCCCCCTTTTTTTCTGTCTCTGTCACAAATCAGTTTCAACCACCTAACCAAAATTAAGAAAGGATGGTTAACTCATTAAATATACCTTTAAATTAAAAATCAATACCCCTATTAGAGAGAAAGAGAAACACAACATTGGAGGAATCATATAGAAACATTGAATTAGAACTAAATTCTCCTTAGTATTTTGCTAGGGGTAAAATTGAAAAATATTAATTATAACTCTTGGGTCACTTATTCTTCTAAAAGGCATCCTATAATAGAGACTGGAGGGAGTAAGTTAACTTATATAAGTATATAAGCACAAGATCTTGGTTTTGAGTACATGTAAATGCCAAAAAAAAAAAAAAAAATCTTTGGAAGAGCTACCCCAATTTGGACCTAACAATGTTCAAATTTGACCCAATCAAATAATGTTTAAGCACAAGGTCTTAGTAGAAGGGGCTATAACCACTTTAGCACGAAATCTGAAGTTTGAGTATGTATAAATGTAGAAAATGTCTTCAAGAAAGCTACCAATGGTCGAATATGTGACCCGATCAGATAACCTTATAAGAAAATAGCCATATCAAAAAAAATATATATATATATAGATATATAAATGGATCTGATATCGCTTCTTAACCTAAAACCTTAAAATATTAATTTTTCTTGCATATGTACATTTTTTTTTTTTAACCCTAGCTCTATCCAACGTAGGAATTCTAACATGTTACAATGTTGAGCTTAAGCTTCATGCCTTGAAGTTCGTAGAGTTCTAAAATGGAACAAAGCTAATACCTTAAAATTAAAATGTACGTGAAATTATCTTTACCTCCAAAAGGGTGAATTCCAAAAGCTTATGGGTTGCCTCTTGTTTGAAGGAACGCTCAAGAGCTCCCCTTATTCTGAGATGATTCCTCCAATTTATCAAAAACAACAGCTAAAGAGCTTACCAAGCAAACTTGCTCCCTAATCCATATCCACGTACCTATCAAATTTCACACAAACTACACTATTTATAAGCATGAATGGCACGGTTTCTCTCTTAAAAGTTAGCATTAAGCTTTGTACCTCTATTACACCATCATCATTCTTATATTTCAATTGGGATTTTGAAATTCTCATAGAAATCATTCAAATCTATTCCACTATTATTATTAATACTGTCATTCAATTGAAAAGTTTTTATTAAAATATTATTTATTTTGTGCAATGTATTTGGCGGGGATCAAGCTCTTATAAGAGTGGCAGCGAATGAGAATTAAACTGGAGAAGGAATTTAAGTTTGATTCAGTGTTTGTTTTCCCAGTAAGAAAGGATCAAGAGCGTGAAGAAAATCCCCAAATGCAGCTTTCATACCATGCTTACATGTTCTTTGCAAGTAATAAATCCTCTAAAATTATCAAAGGGCAGGGATAGACTATGATCTAGAATTTATAACAAGTTGCACAATTCACAAACCATGAACAGCCCAATTCATTTCTAAGACTCTTTATAATGTACAGGACTTATCTAGTTTTTCAACAATTTTGATGAAAAATGACTGAGTATCATGGTCATGTGTATCACATTGTTTCCCATTAGATTAATCTGTTTCTTATTTCAAGTATTATTTTTCAAAATTAGTGTCATTATACAGCCTACAATTCTCTTAGCTGGTTTTACTGGTGCAGGAGGATTTGATAATTAAAGTAATTAGGGCAGGCACCCTATGAATCAGGCACTCTCTTTATCTGGAATCATACACCACTATCTTTCAGGGGTGCTCTGATTCTGCCAAAGCAGGTTATCTGTACGGTATAATACTAACTGAGTAAGCAGAAATTTAAAATCTTACTAAGAGGTCATGCAAAACAGATTCTCTCCACTTTCGTGAATAGTGTTTTGGGTACTGTAAACAGGTGTTTAGTCAATTTATGCAAACCTCAACTATTCTTGCCTCAATCAAGTTCAAAGGTGGGTTATTCACTCGGGTGTATCTAATCACACTTCATCCACAAACTGTTACACTACATGCTAATCTAAAAGAGTTAAAGAGAGGCATATTGATCATGTGGGTTTATCATGCATGCAGTAATAAGGCCCGATAAATCCATGGCATGATCAAAACTTTCTTTACATTTTATCTATGCATAATATAATAAACTCTGGTAAGTATAAACGTGAATAGTGTAGTTCATCTCTCAAACCTGATGCAATACTACTCAGACCCATAGAAGTTATTGCTAATAAACATCTTAGGCACTTAACGAGATAGAGGTCATTGTTCTAGGTATGTAAATCAGAATCGAAGATAGTACGTATGTGCTTTGACAGGTAACAGATCTACTAGTTTTGCATGATATGACTTATTTCTTTGCTGTTCCATGAGCTTGAACAATAATGGAATTGGTACTAGACACCAAGGCTTTCAGAATTTGTGCCACGTCAATTCAGATAATAATGCTTTAAATACATTTTTGAATTTATTGTCCTCAACTTTGAAGTTGGTTTCTCCAAGAAAAAAAAGCCAATGTTATTATCTTAATTTTGAAAATGATATGAATTCAATGGATACTAAATTATTTATACATGGGAATAAAAAAAGGAGATGGGATCAGAGGAATTGAATGCATGAAAATCAACTAAGACGAGACATGTAGATTCTCTCTGTATCAGAAAAATTAATACCATAACAATCATGTTTATTTAATATTAATCTTTCAATTAAAAAACACATTTAAATCATCTAAAGTTAATCTATCAATTTATGCTTTTGGCACATCAACAATCTAATTTATAGATAGCCATTTAATATCTCATGATAATTAGCAGAGAGAAGGAAAAAATAATAAAAAGAGAGAAAAACTAATGCAGCGCCCTTCTTTTTCCTTTTCTTTTACTTTTTTTAATTAAAAAAGAAAACGCCTTTCATTCTCATCAATCAAATTGTGATCAATGAACAACAAAAACGGTGGATTTTTTACTCACTTGCTTGCTAATCTGAAAACCCTATTATCCTCTTCAATCCAGGGAAAGAGAAGGCAGAAGTAGCAGAAGATGATTTCTCAGACGAAGAATCACTCTCTTCTCGCAAATACTCCTCCATCATCTCCTTCGCAGATCTCGCCGATAATGGATGAAAATTCGAACCCCACTCTTCCACAAAACCTTTGATCAAAGCCGATTTCTCCGCTTCATCGATCTTCCTCCACTTGTGCTTCGCCTCGTCTTCCTTCAAGCTGAGGTACTCGCACAGCTCTCCGAAGAGAATCGCGCGGCTTTTCTTCATGGCCTCCTCCGTCTGAAGCAAGTCGGAGTTGATTTTGCGAATCCTGACAGCGAGCGTTGCTTCGCTGAAGCTGCGGGCGCACGAGATTCGGGTGGTTGTGAGCTTGTGGTTGTGGATGAGTAGATTTGTAAAAGAGAAGTTCGAGAGATGAGAAGAAAATTTGGCGGAGAAGAGTTGGATTGTGAGAATAGCCATTTGAGGCTGAGGGAGTGAGATTGTCGAGAAGATGGATCGAAAGTCGAAACCCTTCGAATCTGAAGGGACAAAGAGGACAAAGCAATCCAGAATGGCGTGAATTGTTGATTCTCGTTTAAGGAGTATTTTTTTTTTTTAAGTTTTTTAATTAAAAGTTTTGTTTCAGATTATAAAAATAATATTAAGAGAATGACATTTAAAATCCATTTAAAAAAATTTATCCCAGTAAAAGTCAATCAATTTTATATTGGATATACATGTTTTCGCATATAAAATTACTAGACTCTTATTGCAATTTTTTTGTGAGAACTTTAAATGTCATTCTTCAATAATATTTTGATTATCATGACAACATGAATATATTATCAAAATCAATGTTAATATTACATATATATATATATATATATATATCAATGTTGATAACCACCCAACGTTTTATCAACTGGTAATGGGATTGGGTTGTTCCAACTTCCAATCCTAACTAGTACGGCCGGAATTGGAGTCTTGAAAATATAATAGCATAATTAGATAATTTTGATTTTTGTTTAACACTTTTGCAATGGGATTATCTTGAATACTACGTTGGGGGACACGTAATTAAATATTAAATAATTCCTAAAAAAACGTATTTAAATAATACTTTGTGTAATATTAAATCTAAGATTTGGGAGAATTTTTAGGTAGATTAAGTGCACCACATCATTTGTTATCTGTCCAATAAAAACATAATATTAAAGTTGTATTAAATATAAATTAATTTTAATATCAATAATAATAGAGAGAGAGAACATGCAAGAAATTAAATTTACATTCTATTATATAAATAAAATCAATTAAAAAATGTCACACGAGATTCTATTTAGATTACTTGAAACATTTTAATTGAACAAATTACAAATGACATGATACATCTGATCTATCTAAGTATTTGTCAAGATCTGGTTGAAAAATTTGTTTCATTTCTGTTCATGAAATCACTTGATATATTGGATAGAATTAGAGCCAGTAATTCAAGTCAAACCCAATAGGTCAATCTGAGCCTTTAAATTCTTTTTATTATTAATAAAATAAAATTAACACTCACTCCATCATTCACTTAATAGTTAGTACTCATGAATCCTCACTTCTAGTCGGCATATTTTACATTCCTAAATGAAGTTTTAATGTTCTAAATCTAATAACCATTTGTTTTGATTTTTTTTTTGAAAATTTTAAGAGAAAATATACAAGAGGTTACTTTTTTTTTTTGAGACAAAATACAAGAGGTTTCTTAGTTTGCTTTCATTTGTACTTTTTTATTGTTTGGTCTCACTTTAATAAAGATAGAAAAATGTGCCTTATAGTATTTTGCTGCTTGAAAATTTTAATTTTTTAAAATAAAATTTAACAAATATTTGTACTAGCTCTATTAAGCCCAAGATGCTTAGCTGAACTTGACTATATTAATTTTTTTTATATATTCATGTATTTTAAGTCCGATCCAAATAAGTACATCCTACCTAAATTATTAGCTGAACATGGGATGAAATTAAATTTAAAAAAATCAATTAATTACGTGAAATTCATATTAGCAAACAAAAATTACATGAAATTTTGGTGACAGCTCATTGTATAAAGATTCGGATATGAAACTATTATTACTAAGAATTAAAATAATATTTAGTTATATGGCCCAAAAATACATAATACCCAAACTTTGACACGAAATCTCTCAGTCGGCTTCTTTAAACCGTAATTATAGGCCGTAAATATTTTGGGGCTCATTTCCAAAACATAATTAAGCCCAATCAAAAGTATATTAAAAAAAAAGTACCTGACTGGTATATAATCATTTTTAATTAAACCTTACCTCTAATAACATAATTACTTATCTTTAAATTAATATTATTTTTTTATATTTATCTTTATTTAATATGCATTTATCTTTGAACGAAAATAAATGCGATATCATCTCTCATGCGAGGGTTATGGTCGATACTAGCATGGAAGCCAGATGCAAGTTAACGAAAAATCAAGTAAAGGAGGGCGAGCTGCAGTGGAACAAGGAAGGACGAAAGTGAACGTTGATGGGACTTTTAGGCTTATTGCGCTGAAGGCAGCGTATGGCAATATTTTGCGAGAGATGATAGTGGATCCTTCCTTAGTGCATTCATGTGTCGCTTGGTATGCAAGGACAGTTTTTTGACTGAGCTATGGGCGTATTTAAATTAAAAATACTAAAAATATTTTATATTTTTAAACATTCAATCTCTTTAAAAATATATTATATTTTTGAGGTGCATAAAATAAAGGGTTCTTATAAACTTATCAAATAACTTTCATGCCAACAAGTCATGAGGTCATTAGCATTCGCTTTAACATTTTGATGAGCATGTGATGGTCATCGTCAACCTGAGCTGTCTAGATTAATTTTAGGCGATCTAATGAAAGCAAGAAAAATTATTTTAACTAATAGATTTTATTCACATTTCAAACATATTTAGTTTATTTTATTTTAATTCAAGATGTCAATAAAATCATGATTTTTTATTTTTTATTTATTTTGATATTTGTAATTATCAATGCCTGAATAAACATAGACACACACATAAGATCTTTTAACTAAATTAATCATTAACTATGTAATATACTTCTTTTGTTAAAAAATGTAAGACATTTTCAACTGAATTTTATCTCTCAATAAAATAGTTATTTATTTTTAAACTGACTATATTTTTTTATATTTAACCTTATTTAACAGGGTGTTTCATCCTAAAATAAATATAAAATAATTTATTCAATAAGTGTATTTTTAGAGAAAAAAAGCAATGATTATACATTGAAAGACTAAAAATACATTAAACATTCAACTCTTCAAAAAATGTCCTACATTTTTTAATGGAAGGAGTAACATTTTAAAATTAAAAATATTACTCAAATATACCCTTTTTTATGAGTTAATTAATTCCACTCACAATTTAAAAATAATTTGGTGGTAGGTACAATTTAAAAATTTTACTGCATACGAGTAAATTTATATATGGAGAAATATTAAATTGTGTTTTTATTTTGGCTCCTGTAATATACTTTATTCACCTCCAATTATAAGAAAATTTGAGATAAAGTTATGCATGCTAATAAATATTTATTTATTTATTTATGTTGGACGAGCCGTGGCGCACACCCTAAAATTTTATAAAATTATCTTACTTTCAAATTCTTTAGCAAATGCACTCATGTTCAATATGATCTCATGCTTTTATATAATTATGAACTCTGATTTGTCTATTTTAAAAATGATTTTAGTTTTGTAAACATTGGATCCCAACTTTTTCACCCATTGGTAATTTGATATTATATTGATTATCTTAATCCAATCTTTTTGTTACTTGAGATTTGGAGCTAATTATGGGTTAGAAGGAGGAGGATATTACAAGATACCAGCATGGAAGTCAGATGCAAGTCAACAAAAAATCAAGTAAAGGAGGGTGAGCTGCAGTGGAACAAGGAAGGATAGAAGCCACCCTTACAAGGATGGATGAAAGTGAACGTTGATGGGGCTTTTTAGACAGTTGAGATGAAGGCAGAGTGTGGCAGTATTTTGCGAGATGATAATGGATCCTTTCTTAGTGCATTCATGAGTAACTTTCTTAGTATGCAAAGACAGTTTTTCGATCGATTGAGCTATGGGCGTGTTTACTCAGGATAAAGCTGGCTTGGGATGGGGGCTATAAGAAAGTTGTCCTCAAGACTGATGCAACTGAAGTGGAGGAAGTCATGAAAGTAGCACCTAACCCAGAAAATCTTGATTTTGATCTCATTTTGGAAATTAGACAGTTATTGTACAAGGAGTGGGAGGTTCAAATCCGACACATCAGACTTGAATTCAACAAGGCAATAGATTCGTTGGCTAAGCCAGGCCTCAACACGATGCATGACTTACACTTAATCTCTCAACTGTCTACTACTCTTGCAAGGCTTGTTAGGAAGGATCAGATGAGAATAAAAGGCCTGGGATAATCTCGACAGTTGCTATTGTCTCTTTATTTATAAAAATATATATATATAATGATTTATTTATTAAGGGCATTTTTAGAAAGAAAAAAAAACAATAATTATATCTAAAATTACTAAAAATATCTTACATTTTGAATATTCAATCCCTCTAAAGATGCATTATATTTTTTAGCAGAGTGAGCGCTACTATCATGGGAGATAAAATTTATTCTATTTTATTAAATTACCTTCATAGATTAAAATTTTATAAAATTAATAATTTAATTAAAAAATTTATCATGAATATCATTCTTGAAATTTGAAATTAGCCTAGCTTTTCCTACTATCCATCAAATTAAGTTGAAAAGTAGTGTGCAAAATATAATTTTAATTACTTGACGAAAAAATTATAGTTTTGAATACTATAAATTTGTTTTTTTTAATCCATGTTTCAATATCCTAAAAAATCCGAGAACCTATTTGGTTGGTAGAGAGAAAAGAAATGAAATGAATTAAAAAAATAAAGACAAAAAATAAAATGACAAAAATGTGATGGAGAAATGTACGAACCATGTTCATGAAAAGAAATGATAATTAATTCATAAGATTGAGTGTCATGATTTATGAGATATATAAAAAGTTAGTCATTTATACATTTGTGATATATGATATTGAATTTTATTATATTTATTATAATAGGAAGAACGATTAAGTTCTTTTTTGATTTTTTATATATATTACATTTTCATCTTTTATAACAATCAAACAGGTTCTAAAAGTACTATCATTACTTATCCAAACTAAACCTGAATGAACGTGGCTGCATCTTTTAGGACTCAGAGCTCCAAATATTAGAATAAGTTTATTCTACTAAACAAGCATAATTATAAAGTTGTTATGTTTTAAACACATACTTAGACAACGTTAGTCCGTTATTGTGTTATTCCTTCCCTCGAATACAAGCTAATTATCTTCCTTGTAAATACGGAGTAAGCAGATAGATTTGAAGAGAAAATTAATATATTTTTGAATTAAAACACACAAAAAAACATACTTTTTAAATACTTAAAAAATAAATATTTAATTTGATTTGAAATCATATACATATCATCAAAAATAATGTTTTATTGTATATAAATTAAAAAAATGATACGAGTTTTTCTTCAATTAAAAGGCTGTGAAATGTGAATTTAAATCAATGTTCTTGCTTGAAGCTCCTAATCCAAAATGCTAGATAGGTGCCATTCCAACAGAAAATAAATTCTATCCATGTCAAAATTGTACATTCTGAATATAATTTTATTTCATTGTTCTGCTTTTAATTTTATTTTACTATACGCATGTCATCATCTAAAAAAAGTATCAAACATTTTAAAATTAAAACTTTAAATTTTAACCATATAAAGTAAATGATCGGTTCAAATCTTATCTGATCAATTAACATGTAAAGCTCATTGCAACAATAACACCAATCTAAATTGCTCAATTGTAAATTAGATTTCATTTTTTAGACTTCATGTAACATTCAAGACCTGGGTTCTGGGTTTTTTACACATAGATATACTGATTAACCCCTTGCTTAGTTAGAAGGGAGGGAAAGAAAGATTTGATAAGTTCAATTTTTTAAAAATGAAAAATTCCTATAGAGTTTACAGAAGAAATAAAATACAATAAATTCCCACCAAATATAAAAATTTTCTTAAGGTCTTAACCCTTTAAATGCAAATAAATTTTTATATTGAATTACCAAAACATCCCTATATTTTTATATATATTAAAAGGACAGACCCTCCACTTCTACCACTAAAGTCAATAATTCAGGCATGCTGAGTTTATTCAAATTAAACTTGAAGTATCCTACTTTTTTTAAAAAGTCTATACAGTCAAGCACGACCTTAACTTTTTTCAGCCAAGTTCGGATTAGCTCGCCGGACTTGGCTAAAATTGCTAACTATATATACATATAGAGCTAAAAATTTCAATGATCGACTTATTCAAGTTGGGTTCGATTCAAACTGGGCTTATTTAGATTAGGCTTAAAGTATTATACTCTCTTAAAAAAGCCCATATAACCAAGTATAATCCTAATTTTTTTCAGGCGAATTTGGGCTGACCTGTCAAGTTTAGTCTGAATTATCAGCTCTATCTACCACACCATTGTAGCTTCAATGGGTGTAATAATATATAGATATTTTGGTAATTGAACATAAATATATATATTTACATTTAAAGGAATTTGAGAATTTAAAGATATTTTAACATTTCGTTAGATTTTACAGAATTTTCATTTCTTTCACTGACGCACATCTCATATCTTTAAATATCTTATAGAGAAATGTCATCTCAATATTTTTTAAATTGATACAATGTCATCCTACCGTCAGCTTTCGAAGGTTAACTTTAAAAATTTGATCATTTTGTACCTTATTAGATTGCCACATTGATGTTCACATATAAAAATTTTTTTCTTTTAATTATTGCCACATCATTGTCCTTCTCCTCCCCACTCTTCTTCATTCTTCTTTTGCAAAATATATCCCTGGGAAACCATATTTTGACCCAAATATTAAACCCAAATTCATCATTCTTCTTTAGTCTTATTCTCCTCCACATGCACCTTTCTCTGTGAGTTCTCTCTCTTATCTCTCAAAACCCAAACCTCATGACCTTCTTTGCAAGTGATTTCCAAATTCATGGAGGAGTCGATTTCCAGATTTTAGATTCATCGAACACGAGAGATTTCCAGATTCATCGAACATGAGTGATTTCTGCGAAGTGGATTCATCGAACACAAAACACGAAATTAGATCAAAGCCTCGACTTGGCATATAGGTTGCGATTCAACCTTAAATCCTCATTTGGGTCGCGATTAATTATTTGGTTTTAGATTCTTGGAATTGGGTAAGACCAAATCTCTGATCTAGGCTGTCAAGTTTAGTTTTTTGGGTTGTCGATTCTTGATAATAGATTCGGGTTGTTGATTGGGGTGGAAAAAATTGATTTGTGATTTTGGTCTTACTTGATGAAACTCATTTTCACCATAGAGAAGATTCTAGTTGAGATTGATCCATAAAGTTTTGATTTGTGCTTCCTAAATTTTGTCGATTATTGACTGTATATCTGTGTTGTCGTTGGGTATTGTTGTTTCAATTCTTTATGGATTTTATGTTTTTTTTTATTTAGTTTTTTCTTCTGCAAAGATGGCTTATGAAGGGAAAATGTCATACAAGGACCGGTGAGGTAAAAAAAAATTTGAAATATCACTATAGAGCCAGGGAAATAATTTGAAAATAATTTTATATGAGAAAAGATTATAATACCTTTATTTTTCTTTTTAATTGATAAATAATTATTTATCAATTAACAAATATCCATTTGCATTTAATAAGAAGCTATTTGGCAATTAACCAGTTTAAAAATCTAAAATAACTTGATTGTAAGAAGGAACAAGTATAAATTATGTTTCAATAAGTTATCATTCATTAATTAACAAGTTATTCACTAATTGACAAGTATAATGATATGAAATAACTTGGTTGTAGGAATGGGCATGTAAATCATGTTTCAATAAGCAATTATTCGTTATTTAACAAGTATTTATCTGTATTTAATAAGAAACTATTCACCAATTAATAAGTTAAAGAATTTAAAAGAGATTGATTGTAAAAAGAACAAATGTAGTTCATGTTTCAACATTTAGCTATTAATTAATTAATAAATATTTATTTGCATTTAACAAAAAAAATCATTCGCTAATTGATAAGTTAAAAAAAAGGATGTTATAGTTTTTTCTTATATAAAATTATTTTTAAATCAATGTCCTAATCTTACAGTAATATTTTAAAATTTTTTAATTTTTGTTTGATCTTAAATTATCTCTTTGCATTGATATTTTTTTCATTTATGAATCTCATTCACATGTACCAGCGAGAGTTGTAAATTTTTTAGAGATTTGGATCTCCATGAAGAAAAGAAACAAGTGAAATAAATGATGAAAAAACGTGGCAGGATGTTTGTTCATGTGTTTTGTACTTTAATCCAAAAAAAAAATTGGTTTGGAGGATGCCACATGGCATGCCACCTAAGCACTTCAAAATCAAACTAACTATCAACATTCAAGTCTGTTAAAAGAGGGCAATATTGTATCAATTTTAAAAAAATATATTAGATTGAAATTGCATTAAAAAAAAGTTAAGTATATCAAAAATATCAATATGGAAATTTTAAGAGTAGATTTATACTTTAATTTTAAAAATAATACATAAATTAAATAAGAAATGAAACTTAATTAAAATATTTTAATTCTATTTCTCATTTTTTAAAAATTTTCCATGCCTGTCACCAATCCAAAGTCCAAACACACCATAAATCCAAACACGTTAATATAAATCATGAAGCAGCACATGTGAATGCTTTTCGGAGGGAAGCTTTTGTGTTGGTTCACATGGGGAGCGACCTTTCTGTTCGGAGAAGAAACTTCCAAAGGCATCAAATTTACTTTACCTCACATCGAGCCACGTGTCCAACAATTCTTCAAAACAGAATTCACCAAAAAAGTAAAAAAAAAAAAAACTAATTATCACCACAACTAATAATCAAACAACCCGTGATTGCATATTTTTTTATTGTTTTCCTCAAAATTGATCCCCTCACTTTGAATCATGACCTCAAATAAACGTGCAAGGATTGAGATAGATTTTTATTAAGATTGATGATGATGATAAATTTGACTATAAATATATGCGTTTGAATAGAAAACGAATATGCAAGGTTCACTATTATGATTATTATTTTTAACGTCACATGAATCAACATTCTTAGATGATATTTTAGAATTATCCTTTTATTTTCGCTATGTATCTTTGAATTTTTTATTTAAAAATTCAATATTTGTAAAAAAAACAGTCACCTCAGAAACAAATCATTTTTGTATTAAAAAAACTTGGATTAATTTCACGACAAAAATTCACCAAAACAGGAATTGATTAGTTTTTTTTTTTGTTGGCAAAAAACTAATTAGTTTTTTTTATTAGATATAGTAAACGCTACAGTGTAGAGTTTGTATTAATTTCAAGTATCAACTGAATTTTATTTAATACTTTCTCCATTTTCTTTTTATGAGGTTATCTCATCCTCATTGAGTCTTGATTGGAAAAATTAGTGAAAAGGACTTAGTTAAAAGCAAAATTAGTCTTAAGGACTAAATGTATTTGAAGGATCAAAACTAATATTTTATTTATTAAATAATTTAAACAAATGATCGAAATACCCTTCTGTGTTAATTAATTTTTTTTAAAAAAAAAGGCACAAAATCTAGTCGCCAGAACACCAACCAAAAGGTAAAGGGTCACTGGAAAGGATCGCCAAAAAAAATCAACACCCTTTAATTACATGTAATCATCAAGGATTATATATAAACTCAATAACTAGAAGGTGCAATGATCTTAACTTAAGGGATTTGGCTTGTGTGCAAGGGATTTGATTTAAGGTACAGGGGTTATAGTTTGAGTGCAAGACTTTTGGTTTGAGGCTAGAATCGAGAAAATAGATTGAGCCCGTGGGCTAGCCTGTTTAACCCGCCAAATTTGATGGGTTAGGTTGAACAAATTGGCCCATTTTTTAAAATATTTTTTTATTTTTTAATCACATTATATCTTTTTATAAATCTACAATAATAACAATATTTTTTAAATAAATAATTTATGACTCCCAAATATATTCTTTACATTTGAAAGATAATGTAAATCTTTCTTACAATTTGTAAATAAAATTTTTCTCATAGTTTGTAAATCAATGATTTATTTGTTTTTATAGAAATATTTTGAATATATATTATTTGTTAATCTCATAAGATAAATTAATTGAAATCACAAATATGAATTCATTGAGAAAAATAATATAGGTTTATATTTAAATTTTCTTTTTCAGTGAAAAAGATAATACACCTAAGCAAGAACATGATTAATAGTAAAAATCTAACAAATAAATTTTCTTGGTTGAATTATATGTTTATTTTATTTATTTACAAGTTTTTTAATTGTTAATTTGCCTTAAATGTGAAATAAATAAATAAATATATATATATATATATATATATATACATTTTAAATTGTAAAAAAATTCTGGTAAATTTTTGGGGCTAGCCCACTAAAAAATGAGTTAGGTTGAATTTTTCAACTCATTTTATCCAACAAGTTGGCCTAACCTAACCCGCCCAAGTTGGCCCATAGCCCGTTTGCCCAATGCTACTTGAGGTACAAGGCTTTTGATTTGGGTATAAGGGGTCTGGCTTGGGGTGCAAGGTCTCTGACTTAGGGTGCATGTATTCTAGCTTAAAATGCAAGGCTTTTGGCTTGGACAATTACATGTAATATCTTATAGATTATATGTAAATCAAATACACAAAGAAAACCCACCGTCAATACATGAAAATGAAAACTAATTACATGTAACTTAACATGGGAACAAATTCACGAGCATACTTGAGGAATAATTTACATATAATCTCTAGTGGACATGTAAATCCTACACACAGAAAGCAGACACTTATCATCAATCTCCTAGAATTACATAAAAATGACTATGGATTACATGTAAATCAATGTGAGAAAAAATTCACGAGCATGCCTAAAAAAATAATTTTCCTGTAATCTTCAGTGAATTACATATAAAACAAACACATAGAAACCACGCCCTATCAATCCCTTTAAATTACATGAAAATGACTATGGGTCACATGTAAATTAATATATGAAAAAACATGTGAGCTTGACTAAGGAATGATTTACATATAATCTCCGACGAATTACATGTAAATCAAACATACAGAGAGTACACCCTTATCAGTGCTCCTAAATTACATGAAAACAACTATGGTTTATATGCAAATCAAAACACACAAAGAGCACATCACTATTAGTGCTCCTGAATTACATGAAAATGACTATTAATTACATGAAAATGACTAATCTAGAATCTTTCCACCATATACCAGATCCCTTTCACCTAAGCCATACCCCTTACACCCTGAGCTATAACACATGCACCTTAAGTTAGAAACCTTACACCCAAGCCATACATCTTGCACCCATACCAAAACCCTTACATCATAAGTCAAGATCCTTACACCCCTTGGTTCTAGTGCCCTAAATCAAAAAATATATTGTGGGGAGTAAAGACAACATCATTTCATATTAAACTACATCCTACCCTATACAAAAAATAAATAAGGGAACACTCACAAGTATTATATATTGTATAGCAAGCCATATTAACCTATAAATGATGAGGATTCAACAATGTAACATGGATGACAACTAAATTGTCCTTAAAAAACAAGTAAATGTGAAGAAGGATAATGAACAACAATAATTTCAATAAAAAAATATTAATTTAAAAATATAATAAAAAAGATAAACAAAGACCATAAGGCACCCCATATCAAAAAATATATTATGGGCGATAAGAATAATGTCATATCCATATTAAACTACATCTTACCCTATACAAAAAATAAATAAAGGGGATGATCATAAGTACACTTCAAAATACAATCAAATTTTCATTCAATTTTTCAACAGATTTTCTTGTAGTTCAATTGAGTTATAAGATGCATGTAAGAGCTTCTTGACTTGCACTTATTTTTTTCTCCTCTTCAAACAAAATCGTGTGCTTTTGTACGTCTAAAACATTATGCTTGAAATGAAAATTAGTTGCCATCACAAGTGGGTCATTTAAGCATTAATTGATCACTACTTTATGGGGTGACATATAGAAAACCTTCCCTTTAAGGTAAAATAATCAAACATTTAAAACAAGAATAAAAAGGAAGTTGGCCTCAGTTGCATAGGGATTCTTTCAAACTACTAAAGGTAAAAGAATTAAAAACCTTGTGCAAGAGGAGTGATGCGATGAACCAAAGTATTGTTCATGATCACATTTTATGAAATTTAGCATGTGTTAGTAGCAAGCATTCTTTATTCAGAACAAGAAAGCAAACAACACAATAAAATTTACTAAAGCCTATTACAATACCTGAAAATGGTTTTGGCAACTCAATATTAGATGGAAATTTTCAATAGATTTTGGCAATGTATACCATTCGTAAAGAAAAATGAAGTTTGGACATCACCAATAATGCTTAAACAAGAAGGATCAATAAAAAATATCCACTTAGAATGAAGTCATGTTTTAAAGAAAAGCTTACTTGGTTCAAGGCTCAAAATCATAATTCATATCACATCTAAATTTGCAATTTCATTTGAATTCATAAATGAACTAAAAAGGAATGCAACAATTGAGGTGAATATTAGATACATGACAAAACAATCAGAAAACCCACTTGATTGATTTTTGTTGGTTCCCCCTCAAGAAGATGAGCATCTGCTGGTATTATATCTTTAAGTTTAATACTTATAATATCACGTGAAACCAAGATCGAGTGCCTCTTGCTTGTTTCACCTGCCATCTCGAAGCACCTTAACAACGTAGAAATTGGAAATGAAACTATGAGGAAAATGATTTTATGGGGCAAAGAAAAGAAAAATAGAAAGGGAAAACTAAAATGCACTGATAATTAAGCTAAATTAAAGTTGGCATCCATTAATATGAAAGGAATTAAATGCTAAATATGATACCTTTTCTTTAGAGCAAGATGATCCATGAGAGCGACTGCAACATTACCTACATTGTTTTCCTTAATGAAATTAGTTGTTAAATTGATGAGAAGCAAAGTAATGATGCCTATAATGTCTTGCCAGTCAAGGGGTTTTCCCTATATACAAAAGTTTAAGGACCAATTAAAATCCTCAATAACAAAAGCATTAAAGGCTCAAAGAGGTTTTTCTAAACAGTTTAGTAACAAGAACTATGAAAGCTGAACATACTCACCCCTTCATTGGCAAACATGATTGCCATTATAGTAGTAGCCTTCATAACCATGACAGATGATCCCACATAAAACCCAAGAACTTTAAAATTTGCTCTCTTGGAAGATAATTTACTAGAAAAACCAGCACTTTTTATTTTTTTTAATTGGCTTTGATTGAAAAATAATGCTGGGAGAAAGGAAAGATATAGGACAAGATGAATTCTAAACCTTTTTCTCTTCAAGCTTGTTATGCTCGAAAATGGTGATTCTCTCCTCAATTTTGTTCTTTGGGGGAAAGCATTGATTGAAAACCAAATGAAGAGAAAATAGAAGTAGCAAACTATGAAAAGGAAGAGGAGAATGAAATCAACGGTGAGTATGGTAGGAATCACTTGGTAGTAAGAAAGTTAAAAAAATGTTCGACCAACGTTAGAGCTGCATCATGAAAGCTTAGCTATCAATTTTACAATGAAAGTCAATACCATCTCAACTTGTGGGACAAGTAGAGCCGAGAAATGAGCAGGCTTGGCCCATAAGCCCGGTTTCTCATTTTTGAGCTATTTCTTGAGGCTCGGCCCTTACTCAAAGGGCTTAGGGTTGGGCCCATAAGCCCTACTTCAAAAAATTAAAAATAAAATTAACATAATAAATTACTTAAAAACATTCTAAAATTCAAAATAAAATAAATCAAGATACACATAATGTTTAAGAACTTAAACACCACACATTTAAAAGACTAAATAAATTTGAACATCTATCAATCTAAATCTAAATCTTCATCCTCATTATCGTCTATAAACAAAATATTAGAACCCTCAGAAGTTGGTCTACTTGATGAAGGTGGAGGAGGTTCAATAGCAATGTACTCTTCAACCACTTCTTCTTCACCTAAAATAAATATTAACCAAACTATATCATTATCATATATATATATATATATATATACACACAATTAAAGCACAAAACCATATAACGATATAACGATATAACGATAGCACAAAACCATACAACCAATTACAGGTACAAATCAAAGCTTTCACATTATATAGAAGGATGCTAGAACAATACTTTGTCAAAACATGAGAACCTATGCTAAAAGTTGATTCACTAGCTATTATAGTGATCGGAATGGTTAAAATATCACACGTCATCCTTGAAAGGTTAGGAAATCATTGCTAATTGGTCTCCTACCATTACAACACATCCAACTCTAGAAACTGGTGACCATCAAGGGAAGCTTCTTCTAAATAATAGTCTAATTTATATTTACCAACAGAAGAAACATCCTTACTCTTGAAATTAAGGAAATCTTATATTTACAAAATAAAACAAAATGTATCAAACAGAGAATTATAAACCAATAAAAATAAGATAATATGTATTAAACAAATAAGAACTTACACTATAAAGCTGAGTCTAAGACATGGCCGGCTTCTTCTTCTTCTCTACCATCCTTCCACTTGTGTTTGAGCTTAGTTGACTTGGTGTTGGAGTTGAACTTGATGTAGGATTATTATAAGATCCACCTATATCTTCAACCACTTTTGCTTGATGTGATCAACTTTCATGTAGTAATTCATAGGATCAATCAATGAGTAAGAAAATTTGATTGCTTCAAGCTTTGCTCGTGGATCAAAAATGCTTCTAATTGATAAGATCACACTATAGTCACTTCAATACTTGTCAAATTTCTCTTTCATTCTAGTTGCCATATTAGAAATCATAAGATCACGATTGCTAATGGCATCATTTAACAGAATCTCAATTTTTACTATTTGTCCAAAATACATGTTTGAGGTTGGATAAGATGTGCCAAAAATCAAGGTCGTAACCATTGCAAATGGTTGCAAGAAAGAACACATGTCCTCTGCTTTCCTCCACTCTTCATTTGATAAGCAATGCTTAAAATTGGTGTCACGATAAGACAAGCAAACAAAGGCTCTTTTATATCTAATTTCACTTTCAAGCATATCATAAGTGGAATTTCATCTAGTAGGCACATCTAATCACAATCCTATCGAGGTGTCAATACCACCAACTTGCTCAACACATTGCCTAAAAATTTTCATCCTAAACTCAAACACCTTAACATGCTTAATGCTGTCTCGAATTTTATTTATTATAACATTTGTCACCTTCAAACCTTCTTAAACTATTAAGTTCAAGATATGTGCACAACACCTCACATGAAAGAATTTCCCATCACAAATCAAGTTATTTTGCAAAATTAACCTCTCCTTCAAGATTTCAGCTATACAATCATTTGCAAATGCATTGTCTAAAGTAACAATAAAAATCTTCTTTTCAATCCCTCAATCACACAAGCTCTAAAAAACTTTGCTAACTAATTCATGTCCAGAATGAGGAGGCTCCATTTTACAAAAAGAAAGTATTTTACTGTTAAGTTTTCAATTTTTATCCACAAAATGTGCCGTCAAGCATATAAAACCTTCAGATGTTACAGCAGTCCAATAATTTGATGTCAAACATATTCTACTAGGATTCTTTGACAAAATCACCTTCAACTTGTCTTTTTATAACTCATAAAACCTCCTAATATCTGACACAGCAGTTTTTCTACTTATAACCTTAACATCGGGATTACATTCCTTAAGAACTTGCCTAAAAAGAGGAAATTCAATAAAGAAATATGGTAAATTATGTTCAATAATCAACATCCCCAACAACTCTTGTATACGCGTATTATTAATTTGTGTAGATCTAATATTACTTTCATTATTCAACATCATCAAGCCAATATTATGAAAGTTTGAAAGAGCTACACATTGTTTAATATGACGACTTAGATGCGAAGTGCCATGATTTCCATCTCATGCTAATAAAGTGCTACAACTGTTACACTTTGCCTTTGTTACCCCCTCTTCATTAACTACCTTAGAAAAGGACTTCCAAACATCTGAGGTACAACTTTTAGTTTTCTTAAGTGGTTTTTGACTAAATATAGTAAAATTGGAGGGAGTTAATTCTCTTTTACTATCCCCATCCACTGACTTCTTATTAGTTTTATTAGTTTTGGCACTAGATGATGACATACTACAAACAACACATGAATAACAGAATTAAAATAAAAAATAAAACAATATAGAAACAAGTCCGCAACCCAACAACCACAGTAATAATAACATCAAATTAAAGCAACATATCAAATTGCAGACACATGAATAATAACCCAGCAACATAACTTTTCATATGTAAATTCAAGGATGAAGCAACTTAGGGGTGTCACCTACTTTTCATATGTAAAGCAAAATCAGAGAGAGATAGAGAACTAGACGTACCTGAAGGCTAATGCAGAGTCCTGAATCCCAAGTTGCTGGAGTCAGTGAGTAAGCACAAAGCTTAGGAGAGCAAGAGTGAGCACAAAGCTTAGGAGAGCAATAGTGAGCACAAAGATTAAGTTTTGAGATGAAGGAAAGGCCGAGTCCTAATATTGAGAAATGCTTCTTAAAGAGAGGAGAGCGAGCACATTTGTCACGTCCCAAAAATAGAGGGTGACCGATACAAGACGTGAACCACCATACATCCCTTAAGCCTTGAATCAGTTCATCTTTCTATGACTAAGACTTAATTACGTTTTATTTTGAATTAGAACATACATAAACATTTTTGGTATTAATAAAAGTTTTAATGTCTTTGTAGAAATTTTTGGCATAATCTTCTCTCTAAAAGGATCTCCCAAAACTCTACAACACAATATTTTACACAAAATATCACCTTAATTAGAAGTTCAACTCCTTTCAGCCACCAAGCAGAATATACAACAAAATGAAAATTCTAGCTATAGACTATGTGAAGCACCTAAAATAAGCTTACAAAATAAAATTTCATAATTAAAACATTACATTAGAAGAATACTTAATCCTTAGCTTGTCCATCTCTAGTCAGTAATAGACTCCTCAGTATTTGACAAGTGGTTCAGTGTCAACTACACTATCTGAGGCCAAAATTATTTCCAATGAATAACGTTTCAAAAATAAATAATTAAATATGAATAAAAAAATTAAAAACAATAATGTAAGTTAAAAGACAAGGATCTCCATAAAGATTCAAATAAATGTGGAATAAAAGGATTCTATATAACTTTAAATGAAATCTTGAACCATAAAATTATCATATCAAATATTATCATAACTTAATTTCAAGGAAGCAAATGAACAAAATAAGTAGTTAAAAGTATATTGCTAATGAAAACCAACGAGATATGAAATCATTAAATAATCAAATTCATATTTATAGAGACTTATCAAAACAATTAACAAACGTGAACACACAGTCCACGAGGGCAAATAACCAAACGTGGCTTGTGCCATAAAAACAAACGTAGACACACAATCCATGAGGGTAAGTAACCAAACACAGCCAAAGCTACGGAACAAATGTAGACATATAATCCACGAGGGTAATACAAACCAAACGCGGCCAGAGTCACAAAACAAACATGAGTACGATGCTCATGAATAACCATCCCTCCGGTCCACGTGCGTTAGCCATCACACAGGGCTAGCACCTCCTATAAACACCCTGCTAGTTAGGTGTACCATGGCACACCAAGGGTTAATGGAACTGCCGTTAGCAACCAGTGTTCTGTATAAAGCCTCTTTCACACCAATTTCAAGCATGCAAGAATATAATCACTATTAAATAAAATTTTCATTTTCAATGTCGAACTCTCATGAATCGTTTTTCATAGCAATCCAATAATTTTTAGAATGAAAATCCCATAATTAGAATCTAAACTTGTATTTACTGATAAACTAAAATTATCAAATCTGGTAGAGATAACTTTATAAAAATAAAGTAGTTTAATCAACAAAATATCTAATAATTACATTGTTGCTGTAAAAAGAATTTGTATAAAAAATGTAATATTTCAGTAAAAGAAATTTTATTAAAATATCAGTTGGGATGCTATTCACTTACTTGAAATTCAAATTTTTCCTCTCAAGTTTAATCAAATTTCTCATCTTTCAAACACCCTATAAATCATATAAAAATTTTATTCAACTCCCAGCTATTACAATAATTCCTTTCAACATTTCCATCAATAATA